TAATACATCCATACATACCATATATATATATATATATATATATTGATCATACATATACTAATATATATATATATATACATATATATATATATATATATATACACACACACACAACATATATATATATATATATATATATATATATAAAGATAAATATATAAAAATATAAATAATATACATACATACATAAAATACATATATATATATATATATATATATATATATATATATATATATATACATTTCTGGACATATTAACATTTAATATATATATATATATATATTTACATACAACATAATATATATATATATATATATATATATTAACATTTTATTTACATTTTTCCGAAGAATATATATAATATATAACAAAACAACTTAATCAATTTACAAATAATAATTAATCTAAAAACTAAAAGGGTTATATGATTTTGTCAAAATTACGATAATATCCATCTTATTCGGAAATTTTTTTTAAAACCAGTGCTACACAGAAAAGATCTTAAATCCGTAATTAATTTTTGATCCTTGTTCATATAAAAAGAGTTCTGCCGTTTAAAAAACGAGTTGTTTTTAGACAAGCGAAGGAATTTCATCTGTTCATACAGACATCTTCAGGTATATAATAGATTTTGTTCTTGTTTTTCTCTTAGTAATATGTTACGGACATCCTCAGTTAAAAATATATTCTGTTTTATCCGAGGTGCTATTGAAAATGAGATATTGGTTTTTGACGCGCCAAAGCAACGCTGAAGTTTGATTTTTAATTTCTTTTTAAAATGTTTGCGTTTATACCGAATATGGTAATGAACAAAAATTATTTTACTGGTAAATTTTACTGTCAATGATGGCATTTTTTCTATATTGTTCAATAATTACAAAGTAATATCGCACTTTGTAGTTTTGTAAGTGATCCATGTACAGATATTTGGATTAATATCCTGAAATAGTTCCTTTATATTGGTTGTTTGGCTGATTTTTAGCGGCATATCAATCTCTGTGGGTTGTTTAATGTCGAAATCTAAATATTTTGAACACGATTCTATGGTTTCAACTAAATATATTTTGAACGCAATCAACTTCAGATAAAATTTATTGTTGGTCATTTTGCTATAAAAATGTATTGTTGGCCATTTTGCTATAAAATATATTGTTGGTCATTTTACTATAAAAAGGTATTGTTGGTTATTTTGCTTTAAAATATATTATTGGTCATTTTGCTATAAAATGCATTGTTGGTCATTTTGCTATAAAATATATTGTTGGTTAGTTTGCTATAAAATGTATTGTTGGTTATTGTTGTGGTAGGATCCACCTAATTTGCATAGTGGAGTACCGACCATATAAATATGGTTGGTACTGGGAAGACGAGGGAAGGAATCAAGAGATTCAATCCAGAGACTCTGCCTGACTGCGACTAAGTCAACACATTCTCCAGGAACGGTCTTCCCAGGAATATACAAAAGACTATATGTAAATACTGTGTACACTTTCTTGTTTCAATACATTTTGTTCTAAGTACCTTTTGTGTTGCATTATTATTCCATGCATTAGTCAAGTTTCAACAGTTATTTTGCTATAAAATGTATTGTTGGTCATTTTACTATAAAATGTATTGTTGGTCATTTTTTATATAAAAAAATGTATTGCTGGTATTTTTACTATAAAAATGTGTTTTTTATTTCTTCAGAATGTTTTGTTTGGGGTTCACTATTTGTCCATAGCTGGAGCCCTAACAGGTGCTACCACCCCGGGTCAGAGTGGACCTGGGAACAATAGCAATTAAGAAGGGGTTACAAACTCCGTAAAACCTACAATCTCCAGATCAGAGTTTATCGTCATGCCCAAGACTAAAGAAAGAAAGAAAGAAAGAAAGAAAGAAAGAAGACAGCGGAGGCATTAACAGTATTTAACGTTTGCTTCAGTCAAATGGAAAACCTTGTTTTTAATATTTCATTTGTAATCTCTTCTTGAAACAATGACCTGTGTTCATACTTATTGTTGAGGGCTTCTCCCCTTTTTACACAAATGGACTCACCCAGTATATACATATACTACTGCTACGTGAAGACCCGAGAGACGAGAGCAACAGAGGTTGAAGGTAACAGACAGACAGAACGAACGTAGCCAGAAAGAGTCACAGTGAGCGAGCACGTAGACTCAGTAAGAAGTCATACAGCGATACTTCAATACCAAAGACTGTATATATATATATTGCTACTAACCCGTATTCCTGGAACTACTAACCTGCATTACCAGTTTGTATTATTAGCTTAATACATTATTTTCATATATTCATTCCTGACGTTTGATATTTATTGGTGCCGGATTTCAACCCGGAATCCACAACACTTATGATTGTCATAACAATACTTTTAAAAAAAATCATTTCACCCCAAGGTAGGTGTGAAAGCCACTAGTACGCGGGTGGGGGTGCAGAGAATGAAAGAAGGCAAAGATTGCGTATGGGGAGGATTGAGAAAGGGCAAAAGCTGAACGGGATTCAAGAAGATAGAAGATGGCGATTGATGTTGCATTTAAATTTTTGAAGATTAGAGTTATCAAGGAAGCAAGTAAACGGAAGGGAGTTGCACAGTTGGGAAGTGCGAGAAAAGAAACTGTAGGAGTAGAAGTGGCGGTTGCATTTAGCTATTCCAACAGGGACCTAGATGCTTAAATTCATGTCGTCGGGGCACCAGGGGACAAAGCCCGTTAGTGCAGTTGTCATGAAAATATGTGTAGAAAAGACAGAGGGAAGCCACGTTACATCAGTGAGAAAATGGCTGAAAAGTCGAAATACCAGGTCAGAATCGGTTACATTATAGATCCTTCTTTGGATTCTGTCAAGAACCTCGAGATGAATAGCAGGAGAGAAAGGTGTTAAGCTAGAATATTTAACGATGCAATAGGGAGAATTCTACGGGTAATTTATTGTAGCGGAATTTGCAAGAGGTACGTCTGATCACAAAATTAAAATAGCAAAACAGTGAAATTTTCATGGATACTACTATATATATATATATATATATATATATATATATATATATATATATATTACTATAGCATTTTTTTTTACTATTGTTCATCCAATACAAGGTCTAAGTGCCACTCAAGGTAGAGAGATACTAATTAGGGATAGTGTAAAGGTATCTAGGGAGGGAGCAAGTGCTGCATATTAACGACTGAGGTTAATATTGTAGTGATAAAGGAAGCATCCTCTCGAGAGACCATTTCATATAGCACCAGAAGATGTCTGAGTGAAACGTTCTCGTTTCTATTGAAACATGAAGAAATGGGGATGAATGTACTTGACATGACGCGTCCTAGCAGTGAATGTGTGGACTGGTGGAACAGATGAAAATCTGCGATGAAAATCTCAAGGAGCAACTGGAAGCTAGCAACTTTCCGATTGTGGAAAAGGGCTTGTATTGTGGGAACCTATACATCATCAACAAAGCCACATAAACGCTTTTGAACTCTGTCGATGTTGGAAAGCGAATATTGTGTAGCTCCGCTCTAGATGTGCCATGATACTCCATCTTTTCTGTCTTTTGTTTTTACTAATGTTCAATGAATACAAGGTCCATGAGCCACTCAAGGTGGAGGGTTAATGTGTGGTGTCGTATGCACAAAAGAAAGGGCAAGACGTGTAGTTCTTGCGGATAAACGGGAAAGATAACTGCAAACTCCTGACTTTAAAAGGTCAGGATTGAATTAGTTAATAGCATTTCAGAGTTCAGCCGGAAACGTTAGAAATAATAGTGTGAAAGTAGACTTTATAAGGAACCCGAAACCCAGTCCTCACATAAAACAAGGGATAAACTTCTACTCCTGTTCAAAAGACCAGGGAGGAGTGTGAACCAGGCGACAGGAGAATCTATTTAGGTCTATTGGGGGAGAAGAAAAAAATAAATACAGAATGAAATTTCATATCGGGGAGAAATGTGAACCGAACGTTAGGTGTATATATCTACTCCTACTAGGAAAGAAGAAAAAATAATTGTCAATAAAATTTTTAAGCAGAGGTGTTGGAAGTATAGAGTTGAAGTAAACTTTCTCTCATCCTTTAACATCAATACACAGAAGGTGTGAGTATGAACGGATTTTATTAAAAATTAGCAGACATAATGTCTGTAATTTATTTAATCAAACATGTCTAAAAGAGAATATGCTACCTAAACGCACAAACATACTCTTTACAATTGGAATTAAGATGCCTATAGTTAATGACCATTTTCACCTATGAATTTTAATTTTAAAATTCATAGGATTTTCAAGCTGTTCATAGGGGAAAACGGTCATTAACTAAAGGTATCTTAATTCCAATTGTAAAGAAAATTTGCTCTGCTTAATGAAAATATACATTGAGTGCTCTTCTGTGAGTCAGTTTTAACATATTTCAAATTCTATGTTGTGTTAATAGAATTTGTCTGGATTATACCAACGGATTACTACCTAAAGACCAGGGAGGAGTATGAACCGATCGATAGGAGAACTTATCTACTACGGGAGATATATAGAGTTGATTTAGACCTTAGAAGGAACCAGAAACCCAATCCTAAACAGGAAATAAGGGATAAAATTCTAGTCCTGTTAAAAAAGGAAGGCATAAGAACTGGACGATAGGTGAATCTATCTACTACTATTGTCTGATTTGATTCTTGTAAAGATAGCGCATGTCAGGAGGCATCAGGTATTTATTGGGGCGCTACAGGCAGCCATCCATTTTTGCAGCACCTTTAATGATGGATCGTATATACGCGTTCCATTTGAAGTCTTTAGTTCCAATAGACATTCCGGGAAAGAAGCCTCATCGGGAGTAGACCCGTTCAACATGACTGAAGAAAACTACAAGCATATACATTTTGTTACCTAGTTAGTGCGATGGTCTGATACCAAATTCTTTGTTTTTCTTCACACTTCGATGTATATGTCTGCTTTTCTAGCCAATCATTGCATATTCATTCTTTCGCTCATTCACGTCATATTTTCTTTTTCGCTTAGGAATGGGTAAAAACGAAGAGAGAATGTTTTGTAAAAAGCCGACACTGCAGACATGCAATAGTTCTTTGGTGCTTGTGTTGGTTTAGCAGCCGCAAAGATGTTTGCGCTGATGACTTGGGTTGGATTCTGGGTCGGTCAAATACACGTGGCTTAAAAGAGGAAAGACAAATGATCAGAGAGTAGAGGAGGAAAATAAGAAAAAAAAGAAGAAAGAAAGACAAAAAAAAGAAAAAAATAATCAAGTATGAGAAAGTTGCAGCATTAAGAAAGAAAGAAAGAATGGAAGAAAGAAAGAAAGAAAGAATGGAAGAAAGAAAGAAAGAAAGAAAAAGAAAGAAAGAAAGAATGGAACAAAGAATGGAAGAAAGAAAGAAAGAATGGAAGAAAGAAAGAAAGAAAGAAAGAATGGAACAAAGAATGGAAGAAAGAAAGAAAGAAAGGAAGAAAGAAAGAAAGAAAGAAAGAAAGAATGGAAGAAAGAAAAGAAAAGAAAGGGAAGAAAGAAAAGAAAGAAAGGAACGAAAGAAATAAAGAAAAGAAAGAAAGAAAGAAAGAAAGAAAGGA